TAATAAAAACATAAGATATATAAATAGTAAAGAAGTAAAAGAGCAATGAAAATTATTTAGATCTCATAATCCTTGAAGAACCAAAACTTCAATTATCCTCCAGTTGGAACAAAAGTATTTAGCTACTCATAATTGAAAGAAAACTAAAAGAAAATAAAGATGAAAATTGATGTAAAACTTGATGTCAAAACTAATGAAAGCCCTAGCTCCCCTTTTATAAGGATTTTCCTATTATAGATAAGGAAGTTTCCCTTAAAGAAAATCCCACAAAAATAGGAGTTTTAAATGCCCTCATCTTTTTCTAAAGATAAGAATAAATCAAAAGAGTCTTCCAGCCGTCATTAAACTCTTTTTCCTTTGTAAATTCGTAGCCCTAATTTAGGGTTACACGGACTAGTAAGGCATGCCCACGCCTTAACTGAAGACTTCTTCTGCGATAGCTCAGGATGAATAAGCCGTGCCCACGCCTTATGCGAAAACCTCTTATGGTCTTGCCAACTTCTTGAATTCCGATTTTTCCTCTTTAATTTGGGGATTTTGTGAAGATCATTCTAATCATTAGATTTTGAACTTGTTTTATCCAAATCTTCAACCTAATCCACAAAATATGAAATATAATCAAAATCCATGATTTAAGCAATTTTAGTTATTCAAATATAAGGAAAATATCATAGAATATATGTCTAATATGCATCTTATCAAGGGATCCACCCGAAAGTGAGGAATCCACATCAATTAATCCCAGGTTTGCTTATCACATGTTCATATAAGAACCTTTTGCATGTTAACATACTCTTTTCAAGTTCCAAAACCAAAAGCAAGCCTTAGTGATTTGGTCACCGCATGAGATTTTTTTTTACTAATGGAGATTTGGTGAATTTTGACAAAAAAAAGCGAAAAGACTATATCAAAGCAAATTTCAAAAGTAATTTACAGGTTCAAAGAAATTTGCATTTCTATGTAAATTTGTCTACATGTTGATTGGGGTATGATTTACATACAATCCTGATGAAAGATTACGTTGTTTCAAGCGTGATAAGTTACGAATGAAAAAAAAATGAAATGCTTCTTTTGTAACAAATGATAATTCAGTCCAGGAAAGATGTTTATCAAGAGATTAATAATATTTGTTCTAATCCGAGAGGTACGTACGAATGAATGGATTATTGAGATTATAGCCAAAATGAATTATGGACAAACAAACAGATGCAAATCGGGCTTGCACTTTGTCTTTTGTGGATGTGTATCTTGCGCTCTAACCCACAAAAATTGCCCAAGTCGTGCATGATGTAAAGCATCAAAATTAATGCTATACAAATAATTGTGTCAGGCTTTGTATTTTTGTTTCAGATTTTAATTTTATTAAAACTTGGCTTTTAATAGTTTCAATAAAATGGTGTTGAATGTGAATTTCTGTTTCGGGTTTTAGTTTTACTAAATTCCCGTCGTTTAATAGGAATTACTCAATCTTTGAATTTTAGTTTTTGACTAAGATTCGATGTGATAAATAAGGTACCGAAACAATGTATGTTATGAACAAAAGATTTGTTTTAGGATTTTAATTTTACCATCCAAAAGAATTTATTCAATTTAATGTTTATAACAAAAATCATTTGAAAGTAACAACATTGTTGTTTAACAAAATCAGATGGTAAAAAAGATTAAATTAATTTTTGATTTATTGTTGGAATTATTATGAATTCTAGTTTTGTGTTTTAAACAAAACATTAGATAATCCAATCGTTTCACCTAAATCCTAAAATGGAATTCGAATAAAATTTAACGATATTAGTGATTGTGATTCACAATGAGAAGTATGTTAAATTATATGGATAGAATTTCAAAACATGACAGTAATGAATGTTACATTTGACCATATTTAATATGATCATATATATGCATGATGATCCTGCTATCATTAGAGAAGATGTGGTAAACATTATTATCGTATTTAATGTTGTTAAAGTTCGGAAGCACTTTGATTTTGACTTCCTATGCGGGAAACACATCCTGAATTGATTATTAGATACATTATATGAAGTGTATAGAATCCATAAGGAAACTAAAGAATTGAACAAGAACTGATGAAAGTCAAATTTTGAGTTGTCACAGGACATGTGGGGGGAGTTGTTGTATAAGTTAATTACCTTTTAAATAAGGTGCTTCACAAGAAAAAAGACATGACTCTATATGAATTATGGAAATGTAGAAAATCTTCTTATAGTTACTTGAAAGTGTAACTGTGCCTTGCAAAGGTAATTGCTAAAAATAATTTTGAAGTATATTTCTGAATGGCTAAAGTATGTGCTCAAAATATGCATATACTGTGAAAACCAAGCAACAATTGGTAGAGCACATAATATAATGTATAATGGTTATACATCGTCTACACAATACCATCAGACAAATGATCTCAAATTAGAGTTATCTTCTTTGATTTTATAAAATCAAAATATAACATTGCGGATTCGCTAACCAAAGGGTTGAATCAATATCAAATTGAGAAAACATCGAAAGGAATGAGACAAAGCTCATGAGTTATTAAGGTGCTATGTGAAGGAAAACTGAACCTCGTTGACTTGAGATCCCAAGATCTAGGTCCAATGAGATAACCTACTTGCATAGACCTTGTCAGGTCACTGTGAGGTTCTTATCTCCAAGTTTATTCCTATTATGAAAATAGTGACTAAAATGTGGAAGAGGTTAAACAATGTTTTTAATGACCATTATGTGTTTCCATCATAAGTCACCTATGTGAGAGTGAAGTGGAGTCGCTTCGAGAGACTATTGAGTTCTCTAAGCTCTTGCAGAACCAAGAGATGACCATGACTATATGGACACAACCATGAGAACCAAATCTTGTCAGAGATATATTTGTGTGAGGTATGTCATCACTTACACAAATTGTAGTACAGTTCAAGGACATCACTTTTATTGGACAACCATTAAGGTAAACATATTTTCACAAGGGAAGGTTCAAAGGGGGACGCCTACTTATCCTATGCAAATATCATATCATGTCAGTTTGAAATCATCAATTTCATTCATGTGGGGGATTGTTGGAAAATTATGAATTAATTGAATAAAATTGATGCTGTTTATAATAATTGGTGTCACTTGGTGAAAAGACTTATTAATAATAAATTATTTCACTTGGTTTAAAGTTGCATCCATTCAATTATACCTATTAGCTTTTCAATAAATCCCTCATCAAATGATCTTAACTCTTCATCAAAAGGTCATAACCTTTTGATTAATTTGTTCTCCTCTATAAATAGACTAGTTAAGCACAAATCAGAGACACAAGTTACAAAATGTAAGTTTAGAACTTTGAAATAGGAAAGTACTTAGAAAAATTCATTCCAAATTCGTTCTTTCCGGTGATAAAGAAATGCAAGATTGTGTTTGACTGATCACTAAGGTTGTGCTTACTGGTTGATCGTTTGTTGTTGTATCCTGAGAGACTGATGTACAGCCTTACTCAAAGCACATCTTAAGGAAATTGTTCATACATGCCACAACAAAACTTCCTCTTCTATTTATCTAACTCTGCTTATCCTCGATTTCACGTCAAAATACGAGTAAAAAGTTCAATTTCTCTACTTCAATTATTTATTTTTACTTCGTTCGATTTTATAATAATTTGTTTTTATTATTATTTTATGTCTCAAATTCACCATTTTGTCTAACATTTTCCACTTTATTGAAAGTACTATATTAATACTTTTAAGAATTTATTTAAAATATATTATAGTTTGAGGACAAATTCAGGCTTTAAACTATAATTTGGGAATGTGTGGTGTAATTAACCCTTTTACATATAAGTTTAGTATTTTCTACCAGATTAATGGGATCAGGTTGATTCATGTGAGTGATAATGCACGTTACCTTTTAGTGGGTGGAAGGAATATTTGAAAAGTAATAGCAGCTAAAAAGAAAGTAGTAGAGGGAGTGGTGGATTGGTGAAGCATATAAGTCCGTGGTAGTCACATGACGTACGGTCAAGCAACACACCAAAACTGGAACTACAGATTGTTTCACATGGAAGCATTCAAGAGATGTGGGTGACAGACAGACAAAACAGCAGCAAACATGGGAGCCAAATGGTTCTGTTTTTGGTCTCAAAAGAGAGCACAAGAGCAGGCAAGCCAAATATCGTATGTAATGTCGAGGGATCTTCCGACTTCTTTAATAGAAATCTGTCAAGTATTATCGGACGGAACTCGCCGGTGCCGCATAAAAATAATCATTTTGCAAGTGTAACTCTATGCTATATACGCAACAATGGACCATAGGAGTCGACTGCAATTAATGGATTCAAGGCTGAGGAATTGATTTTTCATGCAGCTTCACTTGTTTGTCTAAACCTCAATCGTATCAAAGGAGCCAGCAGCATCCACACTGCAACACACACCATAAATCCGATAACCGTTACGAACTTATCACCAGAGAGAAAAAGGGTTCAGGGTTTAAGGTTTAAGGTTGTGTGTACTTACGGTAAACACAGACGGCTAGCCATTCATTCACTATCCTGACCCATGTACTGGTCCAGCCCACGTTGATCGTCCATCTACAAGGGTGTGAAACCATATGAGCTTGCAGCTTGCACTTCAAATGGAAAAGCAGGGGACATACTTTTTAATAGTATGATGAATATTCCATCCGATCAATAGTATTGCGAAGTACATCGCTCCGGTGGAAAAAACAAAGTGGAAGAAGCCGTAACCATATGGAACTGCATCTTCAGCTGGTGCTTCCTTTTCCCTGATCTGCAGCCTTTGTGAGGTGCATTCTTAATACAACTACTAAATACTTAACGAGTTTTGCAGAACAAAGCTGAAAACACTGAGAATCGATGCCTGTTGAAAACGTTGCTATAACCATAGCCAGTAGGGCAATGACAAAGCTCTGGAAAAATACGAAGAGTTAGCCAAGCGCAATCACTACTCACAAGAATTTGGTTTAGTGGATTTCAAAAGATTGAAATATTACTATGATTGTCAGCCAATCTGTTCTGTTTGATTCCTCTGTCTTCCTAATGCAAATTTCCCCAGCTGGTTCACTGCAAACACATAAATGTAATCGATTAACTGCAGTTTGTAACAATGACGAGTTAACGGATGCAACGCTCTATGAAATTTCTAAAACCAGCTTAGAATCTTGCATTCCAATGGCATACCAACATATGAATACAACATACAGCCCCATGAGTCCAGGAGTCAAGTAGCCGATATTCACCTGTTTCACAAATCATGTGTTCGATCACTAATCATGCCAAAACATTCAAGAACCGAAAGCCCGGGAGTATCGAGAAAATACTTTAGGGTGGAGGGAAACGCTTGTCATGAGCTGAATGAGTACCAGTTTCCATGTGATGAAGAAAATATTAAGGAGGCAGGATGGTTCCGGTGCATACCAGACATACATCATGATGATCCCAACTATGCATATAACATATGCAGCAGTTGCAAGTGACATCACATGAATGCGACTGAAGAAAATGTGATACGATTCGAATCAGTTCGCTCTGATTGATCAGTTTCAGTACAATAATAAAGCTTGTTTTTGCAGACAAAGAATCAGTACTAACAAGGGAAGAGTCTTACCATTTTTCTGATATTTTATCAGATTGACAACAATCATTCAGCCATGTAATGAAACTGATAACACTTACTAGCTGAACTAAGAGAAAGACCCTGAAAAGGATAAGAGAGAAAATCACTAAACAATAGCATTGAGTAAAGATAACTTAGGAAGCATCATAAACTTCCTCAACAGATTCCAATATGATTGTACATGTTTTATACAGAGGAATTTATAACAGGAATCTATGATGTACCCGGCACCAAAATGCGCAATCTCCCCTGCCGAAAGAAGCAACGTAGAAACACATTTAGCGCTTTGAGCAAAACAAAACCAGTGCTCAAGTCCTAAGATTTATCATTAAAATAAGATATAATGGTAGTAGACGTTTCGGAAGAATCGAACACGAACCATATATATGTACGATAAAAGTAGGAACCAAAAAGGCGGTCACTGTCATGGCAATCCAGAGGGCGATCTTTGCATCAAGAGATCACCTTTTATCTAGATATCGATTCTTAGATTCGAGAGAATTAAGATAGATCTACGTGAACAATGAAATCGATCCGAGATGGTGATGTTCTAACTTGTCTACCTTAGAGATAAGGAGCGGGTTTCATTCGACTAAAAGGGATAGACGCTAGAGTAGGATAGACAACGACTATAGTTCACGCCGAGAGGTATTGCTACAACAACAGTCTGACAAGCCAAGGGTTATAGTTAACGCTGAGTGGTATTGCCATAGCAACCGTCTAAGAATACTTAGTAATCCTGTCAGGTAGCTTAAGCATGTCATAATAATTCATTCTGGGCTTATAATAATTGTTGTCAATACAAAAGATTAGCATAAGTGCTATGTGGTAAGTCTGAATATGCGAGGCTGTTTGAATTATATTTGAATTAACGTTTTTCCTTGTTTTATTTTATTTCGATAGTTTACAAATTTATTTTGTCTTGACCAAAATTTTCTGCAATTATAGTGTTTTCTTTTTTTATTAATAATAGCTTTTTAGTTTGACAAGATAGTAGGAATTAGTTTGTGACAACTAGTTCTGGTTGTGGTGAAGGTTAAAATTTTAGACCAATCCCTGAAGAGATGATAACTCACTTACCCTATATTACTTGATTCGATTGTGTATACTTGCACAAAATTTCTTGTCTTAGCATATACATTTACAAGCGATCAGGCTACCTGGTGGAGAGAGGAGGATATGAAAAAGTTGTTCCCACATCTCTTTGCTTCAGGTATTTATTTAAAATTCGAGGACGAATTTTATTCAGGACTATATTGAAATGATTTAAAAATATGAGGATTGATTCTTTTAAATAATAAAAGATAAGAAGGATTATGATTAATAATTTAGACTAAATTGTGATAATGGGGTATTAAGAGGGCATTTTGGTATTTTAAATGAAAAAGAATTTAAAATGTCCTTTAGATGGGTATTAACGAAATGGGAAAAGGGAGTTAGGTTACAAAAGTCTTCTTTCTCTCTTTTCTTCCTCTTTCCCCGTAACCAAGCTCCTCCATAGATCAAAGGCAAGTTTTTAAGTTAATGATTTATTCCTTCAATTTTTGTTGGTTATCAAATCATTGTTATGATGGAAGCTTAAGGAAGGTTTAGAGGAGATTAAAACTAAGTTATGAATGAGATATTAGAGATTAAAGAAAATGGATTTTTGAATAATATGTTGAAATAGGAGGGTTTATGGATGTTTATTGGTAAAATTGGCTTGACAATAAGGTAAATGAAAGATTAGAAGCCTAGAATGAGTTTAAAAACAAGTGGAATTTTTGGTGTGATTTTAAGAATCAAATGTATTTGAGATATACTAGATGTTTTAAGTATCTAAATGAAGTAAAGTTAGTAAGGTTAAGTAGAGAAGTGTTACATAGTATTGTTAGGGGTAAATGAGAGGAAAATTGGACAAAGTTGGATAAGTTTTGAGTAGAAAACTGGAAAATCTGGGCAGGGGTATCGATACTGATAGAACATTACCGATACTATAGGTAAAAATTGGGCTAAATTAGCTGAGAAGTATCGATACTGATTCAATTAGTATCGGTACCAAACGAAGTTGTATCGATACCATGGTATGGGTATCGATACCGGGTAACATCAAACCTAATTTTGGTATCGATACCATATAGGGGTATCGGTACCATAGTATAGTAGTATCGATACCATGGTAAGGGTATCGATACCGGGCCACATCGAATTTAATTTTGGTATTGATACTGGAAGGGGGTATCGATACCAATGTAGGGTAGTATCAATACCATGGTAGGGGTATCGATACTGAAGGGCCAGAAATTTTAAGTTGGGTTGATATTGTTGTAGAAAAGTTAATAATAAGTATTTTGATTATTGTTACATTATAATTGTTAGGAAATAAACTAACAATTGATATTATACATGTATTTAATGAATGCGGGATAAATTGAAATCAAGCTCCCGAGTTGAGTAGGGCTAAAGGCAAGGGCCAAGTTCCAGATTAATCATTCTTACTTTTGGACACTTAGTGAGGAAAGCCAGGTGAGTACATTTATGGTATGTAATCTAGATGAAAATGATTACAAATAATTTAATATGTATTATTGAAATATTAATGTACGTTTTACTGTAATTACTATGTTTTATATAATACATGGAAAGGATATTGTGTATGAGTTTAGATTATAACTTACTCTAAAAGAAATGAAAATAATAATGCATATGGGAGCATTATTGGCATTGAAAGGATGCCATAGTTGAAATGTATATGGGTACATTATCAACAGAAAAGTATACCATAGTTAAAATGTATATGGGTATATTATCAACAGAAAAGTATACTATAGTTGAAATGCATATGGGTGAATTATCAACAGAAAAGTATGCTATAGTTGAAATGCATATGGGTGCATTATCAACAGATAAGTATACTATAGTTGAAATGTATATGGATACATTATCAACAGAAAAGTATACTATAGTTGAAATGTATATGGGTACATTATCAACAAAAAGGTATACTATAGTTGAAATGCATATAGATGCATTATCAACAGAAAAGTGTATAGTGGTATATTGTAATCATGAATGGAGGTTACAAATGAAAAGAAATAATCATGACAATTGATTATGATAATTGGGAATAAAATATTTATGTATATATAAACAAGGGTTTGTTTACTATATTATGATTCATTAAGATATACTTAACATGTGTATTTCCACGCGTAGGTAACAACAGAAATAATCAAGGAGTGAAGCCGTAGCAGCAGATATCATTCACTAAGGTTGACGCACCAGTAACATTAGGAAGGTGGTAAACCTTTTTTAAACTCGTTGGCATGTAATTAGATTTAACATAACATTTTGTCATGTATTTTAATGAATACTTATTTATTATGTCTATTTATGTGGAAATTAAGTTAAAACAAAAATTTTAAAGACTTTACAAATGAGTAAACCTTGTTTTAAGTGATATGACATTTGTATACGTATACAGAAAATGTATATACATATATGGGTTTTACAAAGCCCTCATCCGACAGAAGTCATGACCAAAATTATATCCGATAGTAGTCACCCTAATAGGTGTACACAAAGGAGGAACGACTATGAACATTTACTATTTTCTTTAAATTCAAAGGATAACTTTATTTTTGAGTGAAAACATGCGAACTAGATATCATGCAGTTAGGATTTACTTCTTATAATAAATCATGTCTTGTAGAAAGCTTGTCCAGGTAGGATTGTTATTTAATAAAAGCATGTTTGGGTAGATATCATGATTGGGTAGGTTTTATATTTATCTTTGAATAACATTTTTATCTTCATCGACTATCTTGCCCATACTAACTCATGTCTGCTCCTTTTCGTGTCATTTTTTTCCATTTTGCATTCCATCATTGATAACTCCGTAAAAAGGCTATATTTCATGCCTTTTTACTTAAGTTATTGGTTTTTTAAAAGCCTATTTCATGGCATATAGTTTCATTTAGACCCATGTAGTTGCATATGGTGTTTTTTTACTACAACATTTTATTCATTAAATTTGTGTTGCTTAAGGGAAAAGTGGTGTTCTGTTGTTGACGTGCGGGTAAATAGGGTTCAAGGAGAATTTGGGAACTGCTCAGTATTCTGGATGACATTCTTGGGCACAAAAAAAAAATAAAAAGGCAAAGATATTTTGATGATTCCTGCTAGCTATCCAACCCACACGTGAATCCCTCTACCATTTATCCTTCTGATCCCCCACTACCAGTATTGCCTACCCTTCACGTGAAGGGAATGATCTTTTAGGGTAAAAATGGAATTTGGTCACAAAACCCTAGGAGCCCTTAGTATAAATAGACAAGGATACCTCATTTTAGGGGAGTTTTTGGAAAATATGAGATAAGAGAGAGAGGAACAGGCGAATGCAAGAGATTATCCATTTTTTATCCTTTTTGCCTCCTTTCGTGGTGTCATCCATAGCCAAGCTCCAAAGGGATAGCAAGCTAGGCCTTTAAGAGAAGCTAGCTTGTTAAGACAATTCAAGGCTCACAACAGCTTACACTTGGGAGTTTCATTTCTCCTTTAGTTACTTTTCATTCTTATTTTCTTATGGTTTTGTAATGAAACAAATGTTGAAGATGTTTGATTCTAGCCCCTCCACGAACTAACTTATTTGGAACGAGTTTGTTATTGATGAGTATGCTTTTGTTTGAATGAATGGTTTATTGTTTTAAATGTTAAATACTCGTTTTGTTCATTTTTTAAATACTTAGATTTGTAATAGCTTTTGAGAGATAGTTGTTAGATATGTTTGATGCTTAATATCGAGAGATTTAAGCTTAGATCGATGTGAACAGTGGGGTGGAGCTGGGAAGTAAAACCCTAACTTACTTTGGAGATAAGGATAAGGTGTTAACGACTAAAAAGAGTAGAACTTATTCAATAAAATCTTGTTGTCGTTTATGTTGAGAGGTATTGTTGTAGCATTTTTACTATCAGGTTTCTTTGTAGAGATATCCTAGAAACACCTTATAAAACTCTGGCGAACAGTATACTCATGGAAGAAGTGAACCATTCTAGAAGACAAGGCATAGGATTCCTTAGTAAACCCAGTCGTTTATCCTTCTAGTAGCTTGTTTATTAGAAATTGTCAAGTTATCTTTTCTCATACCCCAGTGCTCAACTCAACTTTACTATATCATTCTTTACTTTTTTATATCATTTCACTCACATCAATTCTTTGCCACAACATTCTTATCCAATTGTTCATACTAATTTACTCTTTATTGTTTATAGTTTATGTCACGAAATTTACTCGAATTCCCTCTAATCACTGTAGAGACGATACTCACTCACTACTGTATTACTTGTTCGATGTGTATACTTGCACAGATTGCATACCAAATAAATTACACTCACACGTGGAACAAGTTTTTGGCATGTTGTCGGGGATTGACAATTGGTGATTTTAAGTTTAGTTTTTAACTCTTATTTCTTACTTTTTGTATAGATTTACTTGTTATTTTTGTTTACCTTTTTCAGGTGTTCTACTGTATCATGACCCATAGAGGGTTTGAGAAACCTTTATTACCTTTGGTACTTGAACTTGAACACCTTTTTCATCGAAGAAGATGTGTTCAAAGAGCTTAAAGATCCCTGTAAGGAGTTCAAAACCAAGGCGGTCAACAAGTTGAGGATCCTGAAGATCCTAATGTTGCACCAGTTCATAATGATTTCAACCTTGGTATTGTAACTTTCGAGATTTAGGCAACCCACTTTGAGATTAAACCGATGATGTTTAACATGTTTAACTCGATTGGATAGATTGGTGGTATGTCACACAAAGATGCAAGGTAACATATTTCTTCATTCATGGGGGTTTGTGATTTATTTTGGTAGCAAGTTGTACATGAAGATTTGGTGAAGCTTAATTTATTTCCTTATTCATTACGCGACCGAGCAAGGGCATGGTAGAGTGGAATTCCATTTGGCTCGATGGATTCTTGGCCAGACCTGTGAAAAAGCTTTTTGTTGCGGTATAATCCATCCAACATGAACACCCAACCAAAGAATGGCATTGGTTCCTTTCGTCAAGTTGATGAAAAGTATATGTTTGAGTGTTGGGATGTATACAAGGGATTGTTTCGCAAGTGTACCTACCATGGATTCCACGATAGGAAGCAAGTTGTTATGTTTTATAATAGTGTGAATTCTCCCACAAGGATGATGCTAGATGTTTCAGCAAATGGAACTTTTATGGACAAGTCACTTGAAGAAGCATTTGATATCCTTGATAGGATAACAAACAATTACTATCAATTCCCTTCTTCGAGGATAAGAATGAGGAGGAAAGCTCAAGGAACATTTGAGTTGGATGCTACAAATTATGTTTCAGCTCAATTGTCAGTAATCACAAATATATTGAAGAATCTCCAACGTCGTGAGGGGAAAGAAGACAAGGTGGCAAGTCCTTCCTGTGTACTTTGACGTGGCAATCATCATGTGAGTTAGTGCCCTGAAAACCATGAATCTACTAACTTTATGGGGAACTTCAATAGGAACAACAACACCAGCAACAACCCCTACTCGAATACTTATAACCCAGGATGACATCAACATCCAAATTTTTCATGGGGAGAATCAAGGTACTAATAATACAAGCGGCACAAATTGAAAACAAAATTTGATTGAACCCCTAAGTTTTCAATAAAATATTTCATTGAAAAATACCAACAAGGGATCAACATCTTCATCAAACACCAACTCTTTAGAAGCCACTCTCCAAGACTTCATGGTGACTACGATACTGCAAGATCATTCCACAACTATTAAGAACCAAAGAGCATTATTACAAAGCCAAGGAGCATTGCTGCAAAGTCATAGCTCGTCCTTGAGAGCTTTGGAAAACTAGGTGGGTCAAATTGCTCAATAATTACATGTACGCCCACAATGCAATTTGCCTAGTGATACTGAAGCCACTAAAGCTCTTGGCAAGGAGCAGTGTAGTTCACTCACTTTAATAAGTGTCACCCAACTTAAACAATGAGATAAGTTTAAGGGAAGGAAGATAGATAATTCCGGCCACAAGATTGTGCAAGAAAAACCTAAGTTGCAAGAATATGAACCTTTGGAGAAAGATGAGAATGAGGGATCGACATGTGAATCTGCTAATGGAAGACATAATAATGCTATAGCAAAATAGAAACACCCACCAGTAGAAAAAAAAACTAGACCCCCACCACAATTCCCTCAAATATTGAACAAGCAAAATTGAGAACTTCAATTCAATAAATTTGTAATATCCTTGACCAACTATAAATCAATGCATCATTTTTGGAGGCCATTGATCAGATGCCCATGTATGCAAAATTTCTCAAGGGTTTTTTAACAAAGGAAATGAAGGTTGAAAAGTATGAGATGTTGCTACAACAAAAGATTGTTATTATGTACTGCACAAGCTGTCGCCAAAGAGAAAAGATCTTGGCAGCTTTACCATTCCTTGTTCTATAGGCAATAATTTTGTCGGGAGAGGCTTATGTGATCTTAGATCGAGTGTCAATTTAATTCCCAAGTTAGTTTTTTGAAGCTTGGAATGGGAAATGCAAGATCGATCGGCCAATCTCATGTTTGACCTCAAAGGAGAATCAAAGATGTAGTGGTGAAGGTGGACAATTTTTTCCCAGTTGATTTCATCATCCTTGATAACGAAGCTGATGACAATGTGCTCATAATTTTTGGGGTGACCATTTCTAGCCACCAGTTGAATTCTAATCGAATGCGTGAATGTGAATTTATCGTGCAAGTGGCTGATCAAAGTGTGACCATCAATGTATTCAACACCCTCAAATATGTGGATTATTCTGAGGAGTGTCAATGTGTTCTAGACATAGATTCTATGGTGGAAGAGGAAGTTATAAAATTTCGCTGTAGCAATTTCTTGTAGATTGAGGAATATGTAAAGCTCAATGAAGATGGTAGCGAGGAGCTTGGGGAGCTCCCATTGAGTGGTGCAGTAGTCTATCTCACTCATTGTTAGACTAGATACACAATTTGAACCCTTAGATTTTGGTGAATTTACTCCTCCAAAACCTTCATTTGAGCATGCATCCACTTTAAAATTAAAGCCTTTGCCATCTCACCTTAAATATGCTTATTTGGGTAGTAATGAAACTTTACTTGTGATAATATCTTCTATTAAGCCTGAACATGAACATAGCTTGATAAATGTGTTATCTCAACATAATAAAACTTTATGTTGGACTATGATTGACTTGAAGGGTATAAACCCTAGTATTTGCATGCACAAAATCTTGGTTGATGACTGCCACATCAATTCTATTGAACCCCAAAGAAGGCTCAATCTAGTAATGAAGAAGGTAGTGATGAAGGATATCATTAAATGGATTGATGTTGGAGTTATTTACCCAATATTCAATAGTTCATGGGTTATCCCAGTATAATGAATACCCAAGAAATGAGGCCTGACCGTGGTAAGCAATGAGAACAACGAATTCCTACCTACAAGAATCGTCACCAGATGGAGGTTTTGTATGGACTATCGAAAGTTTAACAAGGCAACAAAGAAATACAATTTCCCCTCCTATTCTTGACCAAATGCTATATCGATTAGCAGGAAAATCCTTTTATTGCTTCCTCGATGGATACTCAAGGTACAACTAGATTTCTATAGCACTAGAGGAACAAAAGAAGATAACAGTAATACCCTTAACATGTATACGTCCCAAAATACGAGTCAAATATGTTACGCTATTCACTTTGAAATTTCTTACACAAAAATCCATAAAATTTTGTTCCATTTTAAAATTTCTTTAATTAATTACATACAATCATAAAATAATATTTTTATCATCAAATTTAAATCTAATTTTAGACAATAACTATGCAATTCAATGTTGTTTCAAAACCTATATAAAGTTGCCTAAACACTACCTGATCTAAAAGCCAATCATTTACCTTTTAAAACATAACATTATAAAATAATATTCATTTATAATATCAGGCATAATTAATACTAACCAAAATAAAATGGATCAAATTTACTAGTACAGACTATTCTAACTACTCTATCAGAGCAACCAAAAAATCATAATATACATGTCACTAAAAGTTAATAACAACATCATATATGCCTTACTGATACTGTAGGTAGGTAAGATCTCCAAAACGATGCTCGGGAGGCTCCTCACTTCATGTATTTTTTCTTATCTGAGACTATGCGTGAAAATCATCACACGCTAAGTAAAACATAGTGAGGCAGTATAACTAATTAAGGTGAGATAGGGTATACAAATATCATAACATTTCAAAACAATAAAATTTAATTCAAATAAAACAATTGAATTTCTAAACCGACTTATTTTATGCCATTTTTCCACATCATGAACATGAAAATTATCATATCATTATTTCATAAAAATCATGATAATCAATATCAATCACAATAATCATTCCATATTCTTTTCCATTTGGTCACATTGCAGTACTTTCATATTTCATTCTCATAGACCAATGTATATTTAAAAGAATGCAAGGCACGTGAGTCAGACGAGTGTGCGCAATAAGCACTCCATGTGCTATCATCAGAAAATAGAAATATGCACTCCAAGTTCCTCATATCATTTGCACCAACGGTGCTACATATAATGTACATGAATGTACAATATCAACATCAATAAACATAGATCACCACCTCATTGCATGACAATTGTACCTACGACTCTTAATGAAACCTATAATGTGTTTTCCAACAAAATCATATCATTATAAATCCATCATTTCCATTCAGTAGTATATTCATATATCATTTATCAAAAAATAATATTTTGGGTAGTTCATACCCTAATTAAAATCATAAATCATTTTAGTAAACATTATGTAAATGTTCCATAATTTTATTCAATCATACGAGGTTGACTTATCGCAAGTTGTCATCAATCAATTATAATTAAATAAATAAAATGCACTCACCTTTGCCTCATTAAAATCTTTTTATAATGATATCCTTTATTCTCGTACTTTTTCCTTCAATTTTGAATCACTCTGGATGACGTCATATAAATAACACAATGTTCAAAATATATTTTAGTATTTTACTAACATAATCCAAACCCAATAATAAAATCTATAAATTATATTTGATATTTGTTCAAAAAATAGATCACTTCACTATTCAATAACAACTTCAACATTTCCAACATGACACTTCAATCCCTTATATTTCCATATTCATCACCAAACTATTCAATTTTCATAAACTTTATAATTTAGTCACCACTTATGAATTCTTTTAAAATTTATACCAACTTTTCTAATTAATTCAAAATGGTCCTTAACCACTTTATCCAATTCAAATCCAATACTAAAATTTCCAGCATTAAAAGAATATACAATAACGACAACAACAAAAACCCTATTCCTATATGTAATGGGGTAAAGGAGAGGTAGGGTAGTAGGCTGCCCCCAACGCCAGGGTTGAGAGAAACTTTCGTGGAAGACCTCCAGCTGTCAGAAAATTAAAGATAAAGATAAAATGCAATGTACGTATAAATAAATAAATAAATACATAGTTGAACAGTCTTCATATGCAGTCTTCATATACATGTCTGTAACGGGAAATAATCCCTGTAAATAAATCCATGCACTAAAATCTCTGCATATAGATAGAAACGTAAGACCCGACTAAATTTAAAAGGAGGAAACCTGAAGAGAATGATACACAATAGTCAATGATAGAAAGCATACGAGAAGGAATAAAGTCTAATGGGTTAAAAACCTAAACTAAGGCAACACTACTCCGCTACCCTAGTTCTAAGCCTTCATAAATTCTAATGACAGAAACATATATAAAGTATAAGTCATGGAAATTATTACAAAGGCATTAAAAAGAAGACAGAGATGTAACACCCTATGTTTGTGACCCGCACTACTCGGCTACTCTGGTCTTAAGTCTCCATATTTTTCTATCAGAGGTCATGTCCTCGGTAATGGCTAAATTTTTCAAATCAGCTCTCAAGCATTCTTCCCACTTTCCGTCTTGGTCTTTCTCTCCTTCTGGCACCGTCGACTGTAATCGACTCTACCCTCATAACCGCATCCGACGGTTGTCGCCTAAGGACATGCCCAAACCACCGTAGTCTTCCCTC